GATTTTTTTTGACCTTGATAGGAGATCATTATTCGGAAATAATTTTAAGAATAATAATGCTACTTATCTAAATTTTCAAAGAAATGTACCTCATATTTCTTCACGCTCTTTTCCATCCTTCACCGTTTTTAATGGCTCCTCCATACGCCTTCAGTTTCTGGGCGCCATTCACGAATCTAAAAAAAAAATAACTTAATCGATTTCATTTACGAGAAAATCTTTTTGCTCCTTTGTCACTCTTCTACTGTTGCCGTTTTCCATTTTTAATTACAAATTTTGTTATTTAATCGAGTATTTTAAACGAACAACAATCTAAATATTACCTATTTTTAGTTGATATACTTTTTTAGCACCTAATTTTTGTCGTCGTCAAATTCGCAGGACTTTAAGCGAAAAATAAGTATTTTTAGCGAAGAAAAAACGCTGGAATCGCCATTTTAGCTATATGAGCTGCCAAAAACCGTTCACTCACTTTAACTGTGTTCATTTTGTTCATCGCTAAAATCTGTCAAAAAATGAACCAAAAATGGCGATTTTTAGAGTTGCATTTTCATGACAGTATCGCGAAAATCGCCGAAAATTGCTAAAATTCATTTGGCACTTTTTGGCGTTGGAGTTTTAGCGATAGCGAATGTTGGAATCCGGGTGCAGCTGTTGTTGTTGTTGTAGCGGCTACTAAGCCCCGTTCGGGTCGGTTCATCCATCAACGTTGCCGTCTATTTCAGCTAGGGGGAGGCCCAGGAAGTGTGCTACTTCCAAAGGGGCTGTCCATAGGGACAGGCGCGTTAGCTGAGTGGGATTCTCAGGGCATGTGAAGAGGTGCCGGGAGTCATGTGGCGACTCTCCAAATGCCGGGCATTGATTGGGAACGTCCTCGTTGATTCTACTCAGGTAGCTGATGAGCCTGCTGCAATAGCCAGAGCGAAGTTGGGCTATTGTAGTGCGGGTCTCCCGAGGCAGACAAAGTTCTGCCCCGTCCACGTCCGGCGGTTGTGTGCCTAGAACGGCATTCACAGGGCGGGAGTCCACATACCTTGAGACTGATTCTCTGTGAATGCCGTTCAGGGCCTGTCGGTAAGTTGACGGGTCCAGAGGTTGTTTGATATACCTCTGGACTTCGTCTGTCAGTTCGTAAAGATGCCTCCTGACGTGCCGTGGCGAGGGCTCTTCCGCGAGCCATCCCAGCGGGGAACTGCTTGTAGAGCATTATGTTATGCTCCTTTACAGGGAGCATCTGGGCCTCGTCATGGAGGTGGTGTTGAGGCGTAATCAGGAGGCATCCTGCCGCAGTTCGTAATGCCGTGTTTTGGCAGGTCTGGAGCTTCATCCACTGCGCCCTGCTAGTCCCCGGCGACCATACGGGCGCTGCGTAGTTTAGAACCGGCCGGCCAATTGCCTTGTATGTTGCCAACAACGATTCTTTATCTTTGCCCCAAGTGTTGCCGGCCAGCGACTTGTGGACATTGTTGCGGCTCTGTACTTTCTTGACAATTGCGGTTGTATGCGCCGAGAAGGAGAGCAGACTGTCGAAGGTAACTCCGGGGGTTATTCACCGTCGGTATTGTTACGCCATCGACGTGAATACCCAGTGGAAGTCTGACCTCCTTCGTCCAGGTGGTGAAATGGGTTGCCGGCTCCTTGCAGTGAAGAAGCGAGAAAGTTCGGAGAGGTAACCGTTTACTTTTGAGCACAAGTCATCAATTCCATTCCCAGACGCCATGATCGAACAATCGTCAGCATAAGAGACTATATTAACACCCTCTGGTGGCTGAGGAAGCTTTGATATGTAATAATTTAACAGTAGCGGGGACAGGACACCACCCTGTGGTACACCCTGTTTAATTTTACGTGGCTTGCTAGTTTTGTCTCTGAAGATTACTGACGAGTGTCGACCACTCAGGTAATTCGCCGACCACCGTTTGAGTCCCTGTGGGAGTGAGGAGACCTCTATATCTTCTAGTAGCGTTGAATGACTGACAGTGTCGAACGCTATGGACAGGTCCAACGCTACTAGAATTGTTCTCTCACAGGGACGGTTTCGGTTTAGGCCACGAGTTATCTGAGTGTTTATGGCATTAAGTGCTGTTGTTTTATTATGCACTTTACGGAACCCATGTTGATGCTTCGCTTGGGTCAGGTGGTTCGTGAAGTACGGGAGCAGCAGGGCCTCGAGTGTCTTCGCCACCGGGGAAAGGAGAGTTATCGGGCGATAAGACTCTCCTTTGTTGGCTGGTTTCCCCGGTTTGAGCAGTGGGACCACTCTCCCCATTTTCCAGATCTCTGGAATGACGAGAGTGGCCATAGACAGGTTGAAGACCTCCGTTAGGTACGCTACTCCCGCAGGACCCAGATTTTTCAGCATCAACATGCATATTCCGTCAGATCCAATGGCTTTGGAGGCTTTCGCCTTCCCGATGGCTACCCTTACCTCACCGCTGGTGAAAACAGGAGGCGCACTAGGTTTTGGCATTTTGTGCAGCCTTCTGGTCACTCGACGCTTGGCTTTGTCTACCGGAGGATGCAGTATGAACCGCCGGCTAAAATAGCTCGCGCATCGCTCCGGGTCCGACGAAGCATGGTCGCCGAAGGAAATTTCGACTCTGTCGTCGTGCTCGTCGGATTAGACAATGACCTCACGGTTGACCAAAGCTTGCTCACACAAGAGGCGAAGTTTCAGGTCTTCAGATGCTCTTCCCATTTCTTCCGCTTATGTACGTTCACAAGTTGCCGAATCTTCGAATTGAGATCCCTAATACGGGGATTTCCGGGATCGGCCTGACGAAGGTTGTCGCGCTCATCAGCTAGAACAGCCGCTTCGGCAGGAAAATTCGGACGTGGATCCTTAATACATCCTGCTGGGATGAAGCGAGCTGCAGCAGCGGTTACAACCCTGCGGAACTTACGTTCACCTACATGAACGTCGGTTGGTATGGGTAGTGCAGTGAAGGCGCCCTCAGTAACATCCGTGAAGCCTTTCCAGTCAGCTTTGGAAACGTTGACATAAGTCCGGTGATCCACGGAAGCAAAGTCGGCAGGTTTATCAATCGAGATGACTATGGGCAGATGGTCTGATGCTAGAGTCAGCATAGGTCGCCATGATACGCTGTTTATCAGACCAGCGCTGACAATTGTTACATCTGGCGAGCTGCAGCAGCTGCACATAATCCTGGTGGGTGCGTCGTCGTTCATTGTGCTGAATGTCGAATCGTCTATCTGCTCAGCCAAATGTATTCCCCTACGAGCATTTGACAGGCTTGAGTGCCAGAGATCGTGGTGCGCGTTAAAGTCACCAACTACCATACGGTTATCACCTCTGAGTAGGGCAGATATTTCAAGGTGATATCCTGCCGGGCAGCTGGTGACAGGGGGTATGTATACGTTAAATATTTCGAGCTCAACATCGCCTGACCGGATAGCAATACCATGACATTCTAGGATGGTATCCCTGCGGTCGATGTCTGCTTCAATGAGACGATACTGCACGGTGTGGTGCGTGATGAACGCTAAACCTCCACCATTATCTCGCTCGCGATCTCGACGGTGCACGTTGTATCCGGCGCAATTCAACAGGGTTGAATTGCCGTGCAACTTCGTCTCTTGGCCCGCTGCTATTAATATTCCTCAATCTTGCTCTGGAGTCCGTTACAGTTAAATTGTAGCACCTTTGTGTGCCTTGAGAGACCGATTGTGATGTGTGGTGTTAAAGAGTTGTGTTACCTGCCGGCCCCCTCCTGTACGTGCTGCAAAAAGGGGTGCTGCCTTGTGGTGGTGGTTGGCGGCGTCGCGGGGGAGGGATGCGACGGGGCAGCACAGCAGGGGCCCACATAGTCACTCGTCCAATCTCGTGTGATGCGAAGTCCTGAGCACGCCCTAAAGTGGCACCAGCCGAGGCAAGAGTTGCACTTGACTTATGTCACGTTACGGTATATTCTGGACTGACAGACAGAGCAGATTGTCGGAGGGACTAGGAGTTGCCGGCGGCGGAGTGTGGGTGCTATTGTGTTTGTTTGTGTGTCTATTGTTGTGTTGTGTTGGGGTGTGAGTGTGTGGATTGTGTGCGGCCACGAACGACGTGGTCCATTGCCGGTGCGTACGTAGGCCCGAACAGTTACGGAGGTGACTCCACCCGTCACAGGCATTACACCTGACCGAGGTGGAGTTTGTATGCAGTCGTCTCTAGATTCCTGGCCCTGGGTTTGCCTCTATGCCAGCCCTGAGCAGAAGGGTGCGGAGAAGGTGTAGCCCTAGGATCGAGCAACGTTTGATGGATTTCGCCGACCTAAACGGGGTTAGATCGCCGAAACAACAGCCCTTGGTCGGGTAAAACCCGAGTCATTCCGGTACGTAGAACCGGCTGTCGTGGGAATGCGGGTGCAGCTGTCATTTTGGTCGGTAGATATAAATTATATCAGTGGCAATATTTGTGTGGGCTTTTTATATCTTGATATAAGCATTTGTGAGATAGCTTCTAAAACGTATTTTTGCCGGATTTAATCACTTAAAAAATTTAGAAAATAGGCTATTTTACATCCAATTACATAATAACAAATATTTTAACCGAATACAGTTCAATAATTGCTTTTATATTAAAATATCAATAATGTTGCCGCCACGAAGTTTTCATGCAAATGAACAACATGTAGCTGTCAAACTACCAAATTTCCGGCAATAGATGGCAAGATATAAGCTCTGATATATATTGCTCTTGAAGAGCAATGAGCGGTCTCCATTGGCTACTTATATTCTAACATATGTATCAAGATATAAACTTTATCCTGTGGTGACGGGCGGTAACAGGCGAACCATCGATACTATCGATAGTGCCATCGATAGTTGTCTAGCTCTATTGTCAGGTGTAAGCGCAGGGTTATTCTGCAACTACCGTTATCCTCGCCATTGTTCGAAAAAGAAGAAAATGAAATAATTGCGACAACGCATATCGGTACAATTACCAGAAATTGAAGGAATTTTATCGTAGAATTCATTACAAGTTAAGCGATATGGCTCCAAGAAATAAGAAGGGTTCCCTTGGTGCAAGATTAGACTTGGCACGAAATAACGTATCGGCTGGGGTTGCTGGAACGATTCCTGTGCCACAAGGCAAAAATAAGGTTCATCGGAAGAAAGTCTTCTCTCGACCACAGACACCTGATGTGGAGCAACCAATCCCTGAGGGATGTATTTGTCAGCGTGAGGCGCAAACATTTGTTTGCATCTATTGTAAAATGTTCTCTTTCGGACGCGTCAATGAGTCGTGTCCTATCCATACAAATGTAAGTTAATGTTTAGTAATAGGTAGATAGAAACATTATTTATTTATTTATTTTTTAATAATTTAACGATGCCTTAACTATATAGGTAACTTATCTCATGGACTTCACTTGTTGCCCATATTGTTCTGGACCGACAGAACATCTTCATGTTGTTGACATGGAATACGACAGATATTTCAAGTTATGAATGACCCTTACATACTTTTTCCCGAGTCAGCAGTTGCTGAAAGTATACAATTACTTTACCTGAACAATCTCGTTGGATTTAATTTTATGGAATACCATTTAAATTTACTGAAAATACTCGGTAAAATGCATATTAAATGTTATAGATTTAGTAAAGATGAACTGAATTAACTTAATTTAATTTTAAAATAAATATGTATTTATGAAGTACTATTATGAATGGAAATGGTAAACATATCATTTCCAGCGAGTATGATTGGGCATATCCGGTTCAGTTTGTTGTCTCTAAGCTTGCAACAAGAATTCTCTTAACACTTTTTTGAACGTGCCGACTAGTTGTTGTTGTTCAACCATTCGGTATCGCAAATAATTAGTTCTCTAACTTGTTTTCCAGTAGTTGAAAGTGTAGTGCATGAGTTGCGTGTGCGTCGCCACTCCAGTAGATACTTCTAAAATTGATCCCCTATTGATGAAAGTGTGTGCGATTGTATGGCTTCCTCCACTCAACAACCCACAAGTAAATCTCTCTTGGGTGTACCATACATACATAATCATTGGTTCAGCAACACTCAAATCATGCTAATCTAGAATTTACTTACATATGTATGCTTGATGCAAATTAATCTGCTTTGAGGCTGTACTACTGGTGGGTGCAACAAATGTGAGCTATGCATTTGAGTATGCAGTCCAAAGCTGCAATGATGCACACAAATGAATTGAATGCTTTCTTTTCTGAATTTCGAATGAACTTGGATAAAAAAATGCGTTCCAGATGCTTCACGATTTGCAGGTTTTGCGGGATTAGCAGGAAAAGCTGTTTTCTCCATTAATAAACCTTCTGGAAGGTGGGCATCTGTTAAAACATGCAAATCGTGAAGCATGTGGAACGCATAGGTACGTACATATGTATGTATGTATGTACATATACGGGGTGTCCTAGACTTCCGGTCAGTTCAACCCACATCCGGGCAATGCAGACAAAAGATTGAGCATCCCGGACTTAGTGATTCATCAGCCTCATTGCGTAAGTCGTAAATAAGGCTTAATTGTACGACTCGACAACATCGGCATTATCGAACTGTCGTGCTGAAATAAGAAAAAGGAAATTTACATATACATATCGTCGTTTAAAGTACAAAACCTCGTTCGTATCAACAAATGCAAACCGCGGTTTTGCATTATAACCGCGAATTTGAAGTAGCATAAATTATTTTCTAGAGATTAAAAACACTCATATTTCTAAAGCTTCTCTTTTGTTTAAAGCAATCGCATTTCTGGCTAGTATATTTCAGAATAAATGGATAAGAATTTAGCCAAGAGCTATGGTGAGCAAATCTAATTTTTGGCAGCAGATGTCAGTGAAGCGGTTTTGCAGAATGACTACGCGGTTTTGTACTTTAAACTACGATATGTAAGTGATTTGTATTATTTATTATTACGATGAAGGTGTTATATTCGCTTTAGGTTTTAAAAACTATGTTATAACAAGATCTTTTTAAAATAGAAGATTTGGTAAGAAAGAGTTCATGAATTTTGTAAAAAAATAAGGTGATTTTCGGTGATTTTTTTCAGAAATTGCGATTGGACACCCTTATCCATACTGAAGTCTCTGTCATAAAAATGAAAAAAAAAATAAAATAAAATGAAAATAAAGCCAAAAGAAATAAAAATGTTTTTAAAAATTTAATGCAATTGAAACAAAAAAATCTTTTGAAACAATAAAAAAGCGTATAAATGATTTTTGGAAATAGAAAAAAAATTAAGTCAACAAGAAAATAAAAATTAAATACAAAATATTTTTATTTTTGGCACAAAATCTATAAACCAGAAAAAAATGTATGAAAAAAATCATAAAATAGAATTCAAAGAGCTAAAATAAGACCCTAAAAATTAAATAAAATAAAAAAAAGATTTTTCGTCTTAAAACAATAAAATCTAAAATTTAAAGGAAAATAAAATAAAAAATAAGTTAAAAAAACAACAAAAAATAAGTAAAATAAGTTTTAAAAAATAAAATCTAGAAATTAGTACACAAATTTAACTAAGAAAATTAGTTTCAAAAAGAATATGAAAATAAAGCAAAAATAAGTAAAAATGTTTTTAAAAATTATGTACAGTGAAAGCTCCCATAGACGGACGCTCTAATAAGCGCACATATCCTTTAAGCGGACATATTCTTGGGAACGAGCAATTTTTGGTTTTTTTCCGTACAAAATGCTCTCCCATACACTTTCCGATGAACGGACGCGGACACTCAAACATGTCTAGTTATGAAAAAAAATCTCCCATAAGCGGACGCGAAGCTCTAATAAGCAGTCAATTTTGTTTTTTTCAGTCTGATGTTGAGTTTTGCGCATGTACATATGTACATAAATATGTACACAAGTACACACGTCGATATTCCAAGATGTTTTCTTAAAAAAAAAAAAGTTTACTTTTCATTGCCCTCTTCTTACCCCTACAGCGAAGCGGAAAATGAGATTTGTGGGTAGAAAAGAAAACGCCATAAGTTTGAATTTATTTACCATTCATTCTGTTTTTATCTACTGAAGGATAAATATTATTTTAATTTAGGAACCCGCAATTTAAATATTTTGCATTTTTATTTTAATATAATTATTTGTAAAATTCCCATAAGCGGACATCTCCCATAGACGGACAAAAAGTAGGTGACCATCGGTGTCCGCTTATAGGAGCTTTCACGTATATCAAATTAAAATATTTTTATACCTTTCATGAGCATGAAATGGTATTGTAACTTTGGTCCGATGTTTGTAAGTACCAGAATAAAAAAGGATAGACCCATTAAAATGTATACTTAAGTGATCAGAACGTCGAGCTGATTCGATTTAGCCATGTCCGTCTGTCCGTCTGTCGGTCTGTCTGTCCGCCTGTTTGTATGCAATCTAGTCTCTCAGTTTTCGAGATATCCGGATCAAATTTGGTAGGTGGGTGTATTTTTATAATGTGTTTAATCATTTGTCAGAACTGGAAGAATCGGACCACTATAACATATAGCTCCCATATAACTGATTGTTCAGATATGAGATTTTTCGTTATAACTTCTCCATTTATGCAGCTAGAAACATGAAATTTTGCAATACTTCTACCCATTATCAACAGAAAACTTAGAGTCAAAATTACAAAGATCGGGTCACTATAACTACGGTGCCCATAAATATGGATTCAAAATGAAGGACAATTTTTCAAAAATATGCCTACATATATTTACGTAGTATAAAAATATCAAAAGAGTATTTATGATTCTAAATTCTTAATACATTTTAAACTTTAAAAATGAATCACGTTTTCTTCATTGATATTAATCTTTTTTTACATGAATATTTATAAAAGTATAGTAAAACATATTATAATTACAATAGCTTACACAAAAAGTGGAAATCTTTAAAAGAATATTTTATATGCAAATTTTGAGTCGTTCAAAACGAAAACAATACCCTTTTTTTTGTTTTTTTGGTACTTTTCGCAGTTATTTGTCAAAAATCGACGTCATGAACCGACGTAAATGACGCAGCGCCAGTGTGGTCGCCAGGGACTAGTAGGACACAGTGGACGAAGCTACAGACTGTACAGAACACCGCACTCAGGATAGCGACAGGATGCCTCTTGATGTCGCCTGAACACCACCTGCACGGCGAGGCGCAAATGCTCCCTGTAAAGGAGCATAATATAATGCTCTGCAAGCAGTTCCTGATCGGGAGCCACAGAAGTGGCCACCCAAGCAGGCAGCTGCTTGCAGAGGAGCCCTCGCCTAGGCACGTCAGGAGGCATCTATATGAACTGACGGACGAAGTCCAGAGGTTCATTAAGCAACCTCTGGACCCGACAGCTTACAGACAGGCCCTGAACGGCATTCACAGGGACTTAGTCTCGAGTTATGTAGACTCTAGACCTGTGAATGCCTTTCTAGGCGTACCACCCCCGGACATAGACGAGACGGAGCTTCAGCTGTCTCGGGAGACACGCACAACACTCGCACAACTTCGCTCCGGCTACTGCAGCAGGTTGAACTCCTACTTGAGTAGGTTGAATGAGGATGTGCCGAATGAGTGTCCGGCATGCGGAGAGACCCCACATGACTCGAAACATCTCTTCGCATGCGCGGAAAACCCGACAGCCCTAACGGCCTTGTCCATGTGGACAAACCCCACAGAAGCTGCACGCTTCGTAGGGTTGCCGTTAGTGGAACTTGACGACAACGACTGAGATACCAACCGCCTGGGCGGGGTTGTTGTAGCCGCTACAACAACAACAACAACGAGTTACAAAGTGCCCTTTACAAAAATATATAATTTGTGCAGATTGCGCTCCATAGCATCTACATTTCTAATCCGATTTTCATTATCTTTGGCTCAAAGTTTACTGTAATGATATATCTTCTTTATCGAATTTTTTAAATAATGAAAAAAATAATCAAATGAAACTGCGTATTTGATTGAAAATCTCACTTTTTTCGCCTGTAGCACAAATAATTTTCATTGAAGTCGCCACAAGTTATATATTTTGGTAAGAGGCACATCAATACCCTTCGAGCTGTAAGTCGCTTACGTTAATTTACGTTAATTTAATTTAATTTTGGAGATTTTTTCATGAGATATTGAAGAAAAGCTACGAAAAGTACCAAAAAACACTTTTTTGAAAAAATCCATCCATTGTCCGATAATTTTAAAATAACGAATAAAATGTGGCACAAATGCAGGACAATTGGAAAAAATCAGTACATTTTCAGGTTTTTCAGGTTTGAAAAACTACGCAGGACCGACCTTTGAAAAACAGTACGGTCCTGCAAAGAACAGAACGGATGGTCACCGTAACTATAACCTATAGCTCTCATACAACTGATTGTTCAGATATACGATTTTTCGTTATAACTCCTCCATTTAAGTAGCTAGGAACATGAAATTTTGCACTGTTGTCACTTATTATCAAAAGAATACTTTCAGTGAAAATGGCGAAGATCGGCTCGCTACAACCTATATC